ACAAACAAACAAACAAACGATAATTTACGAGCAGACAGACCGACGGAGGCTGTGAACACCGTACGTGAGGGTTAACAGACGGAGCAGGACAGCCATTATTAGCCAAAACTAAATGCTGAACCGATGCAGGGGAGATTATGATTTGAGGGTGAACACGGTGGAAAGGTAGGATTCTTTTTAATATATAAATGAGGATATTAATTTTATATTGCAGAAACACAAGGTGCAGGCCGCTGTGAGCTGAAAGACAAGAATAGTGTGTCTCTCTTCCTCATTCTTTGGACTTCACTAAATTAAACTGTTAGTGTTTAAATGCTAGTCCAAAAATCTAATTTTTATAGGTTTCCTTTGTCTTGTGTTTTTGGCTGTTGCTGCAGCTTCCAGCTTGGCCTTGTTAATAAAACCAGAGGTGGTTTTCATTTCTGTCCTGCTCTCTGAGTTGTACCTTGTCAGGGCCAGAGAGGAGGCCGGCTTGCCCAGCCTGGTCGAACAAAGGTCGTCGTTTTCTGAAAGACAGAGTGTGGCATGCAGAGATAAGATGAGCTTGAATTATTGCAGAGCAGATACCTACAGAGTCCAGCGGCCTGGAAGAGGCCTGAAAAGCTGCCATTATTTGTTCTGTCGTGAAGAACTCTGGGCAAACAGGAGAAACCTTTTCTAATGAGCTGAAGGAAATATGGGTTTGAAAATGTCAAAAAAAAAAGGACACATTAAATAGTAGGGTGCCACGTAGACTCATTTCTTGGCCAAAACCGTAAAAAGATTTTGCTTTAACTGCAAATTGGTGCACAGACCTCAATTCCTGTGTTATGCTGTTGTGTTTAATTTTGCATTTGGTCCAGTTTATGAACATAATAGCCCTGGGAGTAGATTTTACTAAGTGATTTTAAATAGGCCTTTTTTTTTTTTTGAAGGATTACGTGTTTCATACAAATAGTATTTGCTTAAAATTATGGATTAACTTGTAGCCTTATAATAGGTTTCTGCCATTTTTCATCCTCTTTTTGTTATGTGAAGATTTAATAAGAGCGATATTACTGTAAAATGTTGCAGGCTTGGAAGCACAAAAGAAATGTGTTAGTAGTTTGAACGGACAAAGGGGAGGATTGAATTTCCCTGATAGCAATCTTGTTTATTATTATTTTGCCTGTAATGGCATGATGATATTACAGGAAGTGACAGCAGTACTTGGAACATATAGCTCCTTCTCATTGTCTGCATTCATTCATCAAAAAGGTCCATTCAGTCTTTTCAAATAGGTGGCAAACACACCTCAGTCATTATTTTTCAATAACTAAAACAAACACACTTTAATTCTGTCTCCTCCATGTTCCATTTGCCCATGTTTTTCTTTCTTGTCTCCACCATCTTCTCTCATTCCCACATTTTCCACGTTTTCGGTGTAGCTGCGTGAGGCAGGCGTATGTTAGCATGAACAATCGGCACCTGGCCCGTTTCAGCCTTGTCCAGATGGGGTCTGCACCCCCCCCCAGCAGTAGCAGTGATAAGCCAGTCAGCCAGCCAGACAACCAACTAGCCAGCTAGCTACCCACCTGGGTAGCCAACCAGTCATTCACCCAGCCAGTCATGTAGCCCTTCAGCCAACCTACCAGCCAGCTTGCCAGCCAGTCAGTGGACCAGCCACTGACAGAGGGAGCAGGCTAGGCTAAATCTGATGGTCCTGGGAGCCAACCAGAGGACACTGGCCTTTGTAGGGTGTTCACACAGACAGCCTGTCCCGTTGCACAGCCGGGGGCTTCAACCCACAATCAAATGCCCAGGCCCTCAACTTTGCCACATGACAAGTTAGCTTTTTGTGGCTGCCCACTGTCGAGATTCCAGTTTTGACAATGTCTCTATAATTCCTGCAAACCTCATGGACTAATTCATGCAATTTGGAAGGCATAAATGAGCAAATGTGTTCTTCTTCTGTAAACTGGGAGAATGACGTTTAAATGCACTTCTCATGAGAAGAACGGTCTATATGTGTTTCATATCAAACCATCACAGAGATATTATTTTTCTGACAAATACATCTGATTGTATTGAATTGGTTCTTGGTGATAGCCTTTGTATGAAATATTTCCCCCATGGTGCACTGGGCACAGCTTGTCCGTCTGAGGTCATGCGGGTCAGCCAATGAGGACGAGACAACGTGCTGTCCAGGGCAGCTATACAGACCCGTGCGCTCTCACTTTCTGCTGCTGTACAGCCTTCCAATTAAGTCTCATTGTGTGCTTCATAATTCAGCGCAATGAAAATATGGGCAATTTAGCGGCAGCAGTTGGAAACTATTATGCTTTTCATTATTCCAGACCAAAATATCTGAATCTGAAAGCATTAGACTAAGCTTTTAGAATTACAGGAAGCGTTATAGCCTGTTTTAGCCTGTTGTAATATCTGCTTGCCTTTAGTAAAAAGCTGAACATGTATAGGCTACTTACATGAAGCCATCCACCACAGCGTTTTCAACTGTCAATGTCCACTGAATCTCGTCTCTCTCCTGCAAATAGGATTGCTCTCTAATTTGGTAACAGAAACTTTTAATGTGTTTGTGTGTTTGTGCTGTTGGGGCTATTAAAGTAGAGTAACAAAAAAGAAGAGAGGAGGAGAAGGGGCCAGTTTGGATGTAAGATTGCATTTTGAAACAGGAGAACATGTTTTTGGATGGTATTTTTTGTTTGGTGTGTGTGTGTGTGTGTGTGTGTGTGTGTGTGTGTGTGT